CGCTGGTGAACCATACAGGCCCAAAGGAGGTCTCGGCAATGGCACCCTGGCCCTCCTGGAGGGGGAAACTCGGTTTTTCCTAGACACTCGTTCAGCCAAATAGTCAGTCTTACCTCCTCGGTAATTACTGAGCTACCCTATCCCCACCCCATGACCTGGACCCTTCCTGTGGCTCACCCCCACCCCAGACATCAGTCTCCAGGGCAGCTTTCAGTTAGTCACGTCTCACTCGGATCCTGCCTTTCTCAAAACCTTACCCTGTCTCCCTATCGCCTGTAGAGCGAGTCAAAGCTCCTTACCCTGGTATTCCAGGCCCTTCATTCTCTAAAATTTAAATGAGTGATTCTAATTGTAGATTAAAAACTATAAATCACCTGACACATACGCAAATCCTATAAAATATATATATATATCTTACTTTGTGTGCCAGGTGCTGCTCAAAGGTCTAATGGCAAATATTTGGTGTTCCAGACAGCATAACACAAATCTGAAACAGAAGGCCCCCAAAGTGAAAAAGGTGACTCCACGTTTTACTTTCATGAAGCTGTCGCAAGGAAAAAAGAACTTAATTTCAGGCTGCCATTAAGATAAAATGCAGAGGAAGGGGATGCGAAGTACTATTTTATTTTAACTTATTATGGAAAACTTCAAACACACAAATAGGCTGAACAGAACAATGAAGTCCACGCATCCTTCACCCCAGCTTCAAAAGCCATCAATTCACAGCCAATCCTGCTTCATCCACAACCCCACTCCCTTCTCTAGAGCAAATCTGGAGGTGCTACTTTAGAGAAAAACAGAACAGGAAACTGCCTCTCAGGTTGACATCTGTGCCAAGATATGAATGGTTAACACCAGCAGCCATTTGAAGATCAGAGGGAGAGCATTTTTAGGCAAAGGGAACAGCAAGGGCAAGGACCTGAGATGACGAAGACTGGGGTGTTTGATGGGAACTGGAGTTAGTCAGGATAAAGAGAGAGGGAGGTGAGGTCAGAGGTAAACAGGACCAGGCCATGATAAAGTTTGGATTTTTTCTAAGCACAATGGGATCCCATTGGAGCGTTTCAAGCTGGAACTTGAGTCACTTCCAGGAAGCCTGGACTCCTACAATATCTTCAGCATAAAGTCTGAACTCGGCATCACCTATAGGAGCCTTTCCCCTCTCTGATTCTGGGTTCCAGGCATACTATCTGCTTTCACTTCCTCAGTCAAATCATGTATTGCTTTTTTTTTTTCTTCCTCTAGGCCAGTGGTTCTCAACCTTCTGGCCCTTTGAATACAGTTCCTCATGTTGTGAGCCAACCATAAAATTTTCATTGCTACTTCATAACTGTAATGTTGCTACTGTTATGAATCGTAATGTCAATATCTGATATGCAGGATGGTCTTAGGCGACCCCTGTGAAAGGGTCGTTCGACCGCCAAAGGGGTCGCGACCCACAGGTTGCGAACCGCTGCTCTAGGCCTTTACCGTAAACTCTTCCCTCTGCCAGCATGACTCCCATTCCAGTTGGCTTCTATTAATCCTTGGCTTAAAGATCATCACCTTCTGGAATACTTTTCAGCCTGGGGCAGGCACCTCCTCTAGCCCCCACACCTTCCTATGCTCCATTCATTCCAAGTCTGACCACTCCAGAGTGTGGTTCTGACTATGTGTGGATTTCCTTCCTTTGATTGGGGCATCATGACGATAGGGGCCGGGTAATGTCTTGTTCACTGCGGAAACCATAGTACCTGCTAGCACAGGGCCTGACACATAAAAGAGCAGTAATTATTTATCCAGGTTGGAGCTGGAGGACTGTGAGGGTCGGTAAGGATCCTGACCCTTGAGCCCCCTCTCCGGATGCAAACTGATTCCTACTAAACCGAGGCTACCAGGGGCACGCTAGTCCGCAGTCCCTCTGCGCATGCGCTTTGCTCAGGCGCGCCCCCCGCCCCACATATGCTAATCACTGCGCTCCCGAGTACAGCTTTTCCGGGGAATATGCAAATCACCCCATTTGGTGCTTGAGGTCTCCATTGTCCCGCGCTAAGATTATGCAAATGGTCCCGAATCCCGGCCGAGCTAGCGTTCCCCTACCCCCATAAAGCGCGTTCCTGCCCCGCACACGCACGCGCGAGACCTGCAATTTCTCCATCTGGCCGGTGGCGGACTGTACCAAGTAAACCCGGACAGCGAGGGGCAAAGCCCGAAGCCCCTGCGCTGGCCTCAAGGTGGCTCGACTCGGATAGCCCCTCTTCACACTGCGCCAGGAATGGTCCATCTCGGCGCGCAAGCGCCCTAGGCTCTTCACGCCCCTCGCGCTCCTTCCCATCCAACTCGCGGCGCAGGCGCCAAGCCCAGGCGTGCAGCCGCCACCGCCGCCGCCGCCGAGCCCGAGCGGGGTCCGCCTAGCCGGTGAGTGTCCGGGATCGAGGTGCGCGGGGCATGCTGGGAAGCGGGCGCTGCGGCACTGCTGCATGATGGGAGTGACGGCTTCAGTCACGGAGGAGCCGGCAGCGGTCTTGGGCGGTGATGGCCTGAGAACAAGACCTGAGCGGCTCCATGCCGCCCTGGCGCAACGTGAAAAAAAGGGACGCCCCGCCCTAAACGTGTGGGAGTTGGCCCGCTAGTCGTTATAGGCCTGGTGCATCCTGGGAAGAATTACCCTCGTTCTTGCGGGGAACCGGTCCCCTTTGTTACACGCACGCCCCCCTTGCGCAACTCGGGAACGAGGAGTGCTTTGACGCTCCTTGCAAGGTGGTCACTGCAGGCCTGAGGCATCCTGGGGGGAGTTGCCGCAGGGCATTATGGGAACTGGTCCTTATTGTGCCGTAAAAGGTTTTGCTCTGGCTCCTTCCCCCAGCCTGGTGGGCAGGGGTGCCTATTATGTTCACGCAGGGAATCTTGGGAGTTGATTGCTCTCCTAGGCTCAGGACATCGTATGTGGTAGCCTCATTCATGCCTCTCTAAGGTCATGGGGGCCAGTCCAGCCGTCACAGCCGTTGAGGAATGGGGCTTGTGCACCACGGAATGCCTCTACCCGTCCGCTGAGTGCCCAGGAAGGGGCTTTGTGTGGTGTGGAGGGGAAGGGTAGGTTAGACCGGGGAGCAGTGTCCCCTGGTAACCTCATAGTTAGTTCTGAGTTTTCCTGGGGTGGGACTGCCAGTTGAAATACTTGATTTCAGATAAACAAATGTACGTCCCAAATATGACATGGACCCTCCTATGTATAGTAATTAGTTGTTTATCTGAAATTCAAATTCATTGGGTGTCATCTGGTTTTTTATGGTTTGTTAATCCTCACCGAGGATATTCCATTGATTTTTAGAGAGGGTGTTCGGGATGGAGGGAGGGAAGATAGATAAAAATCCACGTGAGCCAAAACCGGTTTGGCTCAGTGGATAGAGCGTCGGCTTGCGGACTGAAAGGTCCCAGGTTCGATTCCGGTCAAGGGCATGTACCTGGGTTGCGGGCACATCCCCAGTAGGAGATGTGCAGGAGGCAGCTGATCGATGTTCCTCTCTCATTGATGTTTCTAACTCTCTATCTCTCTCCCTTCCTCTCTGTAAAAAATCAATAAAATATATTTAAAAAATTCCACGTGAAATAAAGCCCATATCTAGGTGTCTTTAGAAAGCTCTCCTGCCCCAGCCTCCTTTAGACTAATTCTAATCCTTTTCTCTTTAGTCCCCAGCATTAAACTTGGCTTCCAGGCTCCACTGTATCCCTACTGCCCAGCACAGGCCTTGCATATAAGAAGTGCAGCTGATGTTGCCAGCACCTTCACTAACTTGCTCTCCCTGTTAGGAAGTGCAGTGGGAGACAAAGAAGTGGTGTTGGGGGGCTTGGGGGGGTATTGGTGAAGAGAGAGAGAAAACACAGGAGTTCAGAGAAGGCTTCTTGGTAGAGGCAGAGGTAGAATTTGAGCTGGGAAGAAGTACAGAGGCTCTGTGTTTGAGGTGAGTGTTGGAGGGTGAGTAGGAGTTCTCCAGGTTGACAAGGGCGAAGGAGGACATTTTAGACAAGAACAGCAGGATTTACTACGGCCCACAGATGTGAGAAGTCCTGGCATACACGGGGAGAGGAGAAGTCTGGAATGGCTGAGGTTTATAGAGTCGGGAGTGGGAGGAGTAACAGCTACTTTAATGAGTACTTGACACCTACGAGCAATTTATATGAATGAACCCACTGAATCTACGAAAAATATTTTCAGCCGAAGGATCATTTTACGAGAGGTAGGATGAGATGGCTTCAGAATCCTAGTTCGTGTACCTGCCAGTGGGTGTGACCTTGGACTTCTTGTTAGTCCTCTCCCAGCCTTCATCTGTACAAAGGAGAGAATCTGTTTCAACATGCTTGAGAGGAGTACATGAGTTAAGTCCTGGAAGCGAGCCCCCCCCCCCCTTTTTTTTTCATTCGTCACTTGAAGATACTTTTCCAATGACTTTTTATTTTTCTTTTTAAATATATTTTATTGATTTTTTACAGAGAGGAAGGGAGAGGGATAGAGAGTTAGAAACATCGACCAGCTGCCTCCTGCACGCCCCCCACTGGGGACGTGCCCACAACCAAGGTACATGCCCTTGACCAGAATCGAACCCGGGACCCCTGAGAACGCAGGCCGATGCTCCATCCACTGAGCCAAACCCGTTAGGGCTCCAATGACTTTTTAGAGTGGAAGGGGGAGACGGGAGAAACATCAATGTGAGAGAGACACCTCGATCGGTTGCCTCCCACATGTGCCCTGACCAGGGCCAGGGATTGAGCCTGCAACTAAGGTATGTGCCCTTGATCGGAATCAAACCCAGGACCCTCCCGTCCGCAGGCCGACGCTCTGTCTCCTGAGCCAAACCACCTAGGGCTGGAAGCCCTTTTTGTATCCAGAAGGAAACAAGCTAGAAAACGTAAGGTCTTTGCGTGAAGCTACAGTTAAAATATGGCAGATTTAGGACTCAAACCTAGATACTATCTTGCCGAGGTATAAACTGATGTAGAACTAGGGCTGATGTTCACAGACTAGCACAGACGTACCAGTTGTTTAAATATTTAAATACTTCTAGACTGGTTGGTATATCACCACTGCACCAGTAATCCATACCCCTGCCGCCATATTGAATCCTCCCCCAAACCCAGACTTTCCCACAGTCCAGCAACTAACGGATTAATGTCTAGCATAGGACCATATCTAATCTCAGTTCTGAATCGTGCCCAAGCTAGTATCCACTTTTAAATATTTGGAATGTTATCTTTCCCCACCCCATGGAATAAGAACCACAGACATCTCAGTTGTCCAGATGGGGGAATTACAGTCTCCACAGGCCCAGGGCCTGCAGCCAAGGCCCAGTGGGCAGTCAGGGACAGAGCTGGGGCCATCTCTGCCTTACCCCCATCCCTGGGCGCACAGCTAAGCCTGGGGAGGCAGATGCTATGTAAAAATTTATTGAGTTACCACAGGCCTTTCCTTTCCCCCCTCCAGCATCCCTCTACCAGCTGACATCCTGCATTAGAGAACTTGTGGCCAAGGTGTAGCTGTGGAGAGCTCGCCGGGGAGAGACGCTGCCTAGCTTCTGCTCTGCTCCTGTCTCCTCCTCTGGCCATGACAGAGACTCGTGAGCCAGCTGAGACTGGAGGCTATGCCAGCTTGGAAGAAGACGATGAGGATCTCTCTCCAGGTGAGGTGGCTTTAAAGAGGGTGTTGGCTTGAGTATCATCCTGGTTTGGGATTGAGGCTCTGCTGCGAAATCTTGACGGGGAATGGCTCCTTGTCACGCCAGGTGTTCTCTTCTTACTGGGACTTTGTACCCTGCTAGGGGATCCCTTCCAGCTGGGACTTCTGGGGGCTCTGGACCGGCTGTGATTGCTCTCCTTGCCGGGGGTTCTAGACCGGCTGTGCTCTCTCTTGCTGGAGGTTCCAGCTCTGTGACCACTCTCCTTCCTGGGGGTTCTAGATCGACTGCGGCCCCTGTCCTTTCTGGGGGTTTTAGATTGGGTGTGACGTCTCTCTTTTCTAGGGGTTCTAGTTTGGCTGTGATTTCTTTCTTTGCTGGAACTTCTAGGTCGTCTGTGACCTCTTTCCTTGCTGGAGCTTCTAGATCTGCTGTGATCTCTTTCTTTGCTGGAGTCTCTAGATTGGCTGTGATGTCTCCCTTTTCTGGGGGTTCTAGTTTGGCTGTGATCTCTTTCCTTGCTGGAGCTTCTAGGTCGTCTGTGACCTCTTTCCTTGCTGGAGTTTCTAGATCTGCTGTGATCTCTTTCTTTGCTGGAGGTTCTAGGTCGGTTGTGACGTCTTTCCTTGCTGGAGTTTCTAGATCTGCTGTGATCTCTTTCTTTGCTGGAGGTTCTAGGTCGGTTGTGACGTCTTTCCTTGCTGGAGTTTCTAGATCTGCTGTGATCTCTTTCTTTGCTGGAGCTTCTAGGTTGGTTGTGACGTCTCTCTTTTCTAGGGGTTCTAGTTCGACTGTGACCTCTTTCCTTGCTGGAGCTTCTAGGTCGTCTGTGACCTCTTTCCTTGCTGGAGTTTCTAGATCTGCTGTGATCTCTTTCCTTACTGGAGCTTCTAGATCGTCTGTGACCTCTGTCCTTTCTGAGGCTTCTAGATCTTCTGCGACCTTTCTCCTTGCTGGAGCTCCTGGATCTTCTGTTCTCTCTCTCCTTGCTGGGGCTTCTAGCCTGGCTGTGACTTCTTTCCCTTTCGAGGGTCCTAAACTGGTATTGACTTTTTCCCTTGCTGGGGCTTCTAGATGGGCTGTGACTTCTTTCCCTTCCGAGGGTCCTAAACTGGTATTGACTTTTTCCCTTGCTGGGGCTTCTAGACGGGCTGTGTCTTCTTGTCTGGCTGGGAGTTTCCTTCCGGTTACGACTTCTTGCCCTACTATGATTTCTCTGCCAGCTCTGACTTCTCACCCTGCTGTGGGTCCTCTTCCGACTGTGACTTCTTGCCTGTCTGGGTGTTCTAGACCGGCTATGACTTCGGCTCCTGCTAGAGGTGCTAGACTGGCTGCGACTTCGGGTCCTGCTGGATACACTGTCCTGGTTGTAACTCTGGACCATGCTGAACATTTCATTTGGGTTGTAACTCCGTTCCCTGCTAGGGGTGAACATCTGACTATAACTCTTCACCCTCCTGAATGATGATGGAGATGGGCTGTAACCTATCTCCGCGAAGGGAGTTCTGGTGGGGCTGTAACTCTTTGCCCTACTGGGGGTTACAGCCAGCCTACAACTCTTCCCCATGTCCGAGGTCGCTGGTGGGCTATAGCTCCTCTTTGTGCTCATATTTCTAGGCCGGCTATAACTCTTCCCACTCTGTTTTTGCTGGGAAGTGGTTCTTACCTTGCTGGGCGTGCCTCGTTTGGCACCCTGAGTTCTCATCCTGCTGAGAGTGCTGGCCCTGCTGGGTGACCTCCCGGGGTTGTGTCTTCCCCTTCTGCCAGGAGTTCTGCCCCGGCTGTGTGTGCCCTTCCGGTGGTGTCGTCTGACTCTGCCAGCCTTGTTGGTTTTGCTGGCCTTGGTGTCAGTGCTGGCCTTGCTGGATGTTCTCACCCTGCTGCTAACCCTGGACCTGCTGCTGGGCTGGGTAGAAGGGGCTGTCTTTGTTGTACTTTCCCATTTGGTGGACTTGGAACTGCTGGGGCTCGTGACTGAGTTGGGGGCTGTTGATGGCTTGGTGGGCATTGCTGATGTAGTGGTCTTCAAGGAGGGAGGAGACTTGGGAGATGTGGGCATCGAGGTACCAGTGGATGCCATAGACATGCTAGGCTTTGAGGACCTCGTAGGTGGAGAAGGCATGGTGGGCACAAAAGGGCTTGTGGTCCTGGAAGTCAGAGAGGACAGGAAAGCCCTGGACAACCACCTGGTTTTCTTTCACAGAAAGAAACTTCACAACCGCATGAAGTCATAATGGGCATTGAAGATCTTGGAGGGTAGGTGGTGTGCAGTCAGAGGTAGGAGGATAAAGAGGGGTGGGGCCCTATCCCAAGACATTCAGCAAATGTCGCCTAAGGCTGACTGAGGCTCAGAATGTCCTGCCTTCCAGGAGTCTCCAGTCTCCAGATCCAGATAGTTACGCGTAGGTGGTCAGATTGTGTTAGAGGGGTCCAGAGCTGACACTGACTGCCTGGGGAGTCAGGGAGGACCTCACAGAGGATGTGACGTGTGAGCTGGAACCTTACAGAGGAGCAGGAGTTTGCTGCTAGAAATGGAAAAGGTGGCCCCACTTGGGAGAACAGAGGCAAAGGCCTGGAGGAGGGAGGGAGATCAGGGCCATGGGGCCACCCAAGCAATGAAGCAGACAGAGGCTCCGTCTTTGGGGGACAAGCAATAAACACACAACCAGATGCTGTATGAAATGAGTTGAGAAGAATAAAGCAGGGGCATAGGGAGTGCTGGTTAGACAGAATGGTCAGGGTGTCACTGAGAAGGTGACGCTGGAGCAGAAATGTGGCAGAAGGGCAGCAGCGAGCCTGAGTCCGTCTCCAGAAAGGCTGGCAAGGCCCTGGGGCCCGTGCATGCCTGGGGTGTGGCTGCTCAGTTGTAACAGGATCCCTCTGGGCTGCCAGCGAAAACTGAGGAGGGGGCCAGCATGAACGCAGGGCAAGGCTGTTGCAGTCCTAGGAGATACTTTGTGCAGGTCCTGCCACTGCCCCTACAGAAGCCAGTATTGTCCACACTGCCACCAAAGAGGGGACTCCTCCCTCCTGGACCACGGCTTGTGTGTGTGCCCCTCACAACAGCTGCTCGTGTCACCCTTTCCTGTGCATGGACTTCACATTTTTTTAACCTAAACTTGTTCTAGGCTTGTCCTTCATATGCATGAAATCACAGTAATATAGTTATGTGCCCTGTAATGACATTCTGGCCAACTGAATACATATACCATGGTGGTTGCATAGATTTTAACGGAGCTGAAAATTTCCCATTGTCTAGTGAAATCATAGCCATCTTCATGGTATAGCGCAACACATTACCCGAATACACCTGTGTTCCAGTTGCCTACAGTATTCAGTACATATTCAGTACAGTAACATGCTATATAGGTGTGTAGCCCAGGAACTATAGGGGAACATAATTTGTCACCCCCAAATACAGTTAACCCTTAAACAACACAGGTTTGAACTTCTCAGGCTCATTCCTAAAGAGGATTGTTCAGTTGACCCCCTTAGCCCAGACCCTGGACATTCAAGGGTCAACTGTAGGTCTATTTAGCATAAGGATTATTTTCAACTCCTCGGACCTCCCCCTCCCCCCAAACAGCAACATGGGAGAAGCTCTGAAAACCAGGTAGAAGTTACCCTTCATAAAAGGCATTTACATTTGTAAGGGTGTCTCCTTCAAGCACCTCGAAGGGGGCTGGCCTTATCTCTAGAAACATTCATCTTTATGGGAAGACTAGGACTTAAATCTGCATAACAACCTTACCCTTGTTTACCACTATTTCTGGTAATCTGCCATAGCTGACTCCTCCCACCCCAACATTTTTGTCTTCAACTGAGGAAGGTATTTAAGGTGGTGGCTCTAACCATTTTGGTGAGTTACTCAGTTTTCCTGAGTCTTCCAGGTATACAGGGGGTATACATGTTACTAGACTTTTTTTTTCTCCTGTGAGTCTGTCTTTATTACAGGGATGTCTCAGCCAACAGCCCAGAAGGGCAGAGGGAAATTATTTTTCCTCCCCACAGAGCAATACCCTAGGTGTGTAGTAGGCTAGATGGTCTAGATTTGAGTAAGTGCACTCAGTAATGTCCACACAACAACAAAATTGCCAAATGACACATCTCTTAGAACACAGCCCTTTCGTGAGCAGCACATGACTATATGTAAAACCACATATATCAAAGTACATATATATTGTCTATTTTAATTTGCTTAAATATCTGTTCAAATGTTTGTCTCCCTAAAATGATCCAGCATAGGCAGTCACCCATATTTAGCTTTCCCTGTTAGAACTGTATGACTAGCGGCCTAACTGCTCTGTTCCTCAGTTTCCCCATTTGTCACTTAGGAATAATAATAGTGCCTCCCTCACAGGGTTGCTGTAAGGATTAGGTGAGTTACTGCATGAGGCTAGGACTCTTCCAAAAGCGATGACACTGCTGCCGCTGCTGTTATTCCTACTTTTACTCCTATTTTGTCCCTATTAACCCCCTAAGATACAATTCTTTTTTTTAAAATATATTTTATTGATTTTTTACAGAGAGGAAGGGAGAGGATAGAGAGTTAGAAACATCCATGAGAGAGAAACATCCATCAGCTGCCTCCTGCACACCCCCTGCTGGGGATGTGCCCGCAACCAAGGTACATGCCTTTGACCGGAATCGAACCCGGGACCCTTCAGTCCACAGGCCGACACTCTAGCCACTGAGCCAAACTGGTCAGGGCTAAGTTACAATTCTTATAAGACAGTGATTTGATGGACACACAGACACTGAGCACCTACTGTGTGCCAGGCCCTGTTCTTTGCAATGAGCAGCCATCTGTGGGGAAGGGCAGGATTGTGCCCAGGCCACCCTCCCCATCTGTTGTCGAGCCTAACTAAATGGGGCTCAGGGAGGGGACAGCCACACAGGCACAGCCCTCTGTCCTCTGATGCCACTGTCTTTCCCCACCCGTCCCCCATCAGGCCCTGAGCATTCCTCCAACTCCGAATACACACACTCAGAGCCGGACTCCGAAGAGGAAGAAGATGAGGAGGAGCCGGGGTGGCCCATCCCGCCGGGCTCCCCGTGCAGCCCAGCCCCCGGACCCCCCAGCCCAGCCCTGCCAGCTCTGTGGCCGCTCATCCCTCGGGGAGGCCCCACCGGGCACTCCACCTTGCCGGCTCTGCTGTCCCGCTGCAGCCCCCCAGGAAGCACCAGCCCCCGAAGGCCGGGTGCTTGGCGAGGGCGAGGGAGAGCCACCACGGGCTGGGCAGGGCCAGGGCCAGCCCGCCAGGCGGGAGGAGGAGCCGGACGAGGACGAGGAGGGCACCTACCACTGCACGGAGTGCGAGGACTCCTTCGACAGCCTCGGGGAGCTGCATGGGCACTTCATGCTGCACGCCCGGGGTGAGGTGTAGGCAGAGCCCTTGCCCAGAAGCTTGGCAGGAAGGGTGCGTTGGGAGGAGGGGGGCTGAAGAGATTGGGTGGGTGAAATGGTCCTAGGGGATGGAGTACTGCCTATCTGTGTCGTCTTAGCTGTATGTGTGCGGCGAGAATAAAAGCCAAATTCTGTATGTCGGTCCAGCGTGTGTTTGGTGTTTGTGTGTGTATGTGTGTGTGCGTATGTATGTATGTGTGTGTGCGTGCATGTTTTTACACTCAAGCATATGAGGCATACGCCTGAGCATCTGTCTGCCCCTCATCCCCCGGGCTCCTTGTTGAGGGAACTTCAGGTTTGTTGTTGCCTAGATTAACATTTACTAAACACTATGTGTTCAGTGTGGTTTCCATGTATTTACTCATAGAACCCATGATATACAGGCTCAAACACAACAGAATTTTGTTTCTTATTCATATAATAGCCCAGGGTAGGTATTTCAGGTTGGCAAGCATCCATCTTCATCTAGTAATTTGGGGACCCAGACTATCTCCTTTTATTTTTATTTTTTTAAATATATTTTTGTTACCTTTCAGAAAGGAAGGGAGAGAAAGAGAGAGAAACATCAATGATGAGAGAGACCAATGATTGCCTGCCTCCTGCACGCCCCTACTGGGGATCGAGCCTGCAACCTGGGCATGTGCCCTTGGCCGGAATCGAACCCGGGACCCTTCAGTCTGCAGCCTGACGCTCTATCCACTGAGTCAAACCGGCCAGGGCCAGACCATCTCTTAAAGTCTGTTGTCATCCATTTGGTCTTGACTTGGAAAGGTACATGTTCTTTTACAAGCCCTAGCCTACCCCAGAAGTGGCCTGTACTGCTTGCATTTACGCCACATGGCCACAGCTCCCTGCAAGGGAGTCCGGGAAAGGCGGCCTAGCCAAGTGCCCAGAAAGCAGAAAATGGTTTGTGGAGGACAGCTCATGTTCTCTGTCACGTCACCTAACAACCTACACAAAGGACTTCCATTATAATCATAGTTTCCGGGGTGCCACGTGCTAGCCCAAGAGCTTTATGTGTGCTGTGTATCTAGGAACTTACAAAAATAGAAACGTAATTATAATCAATTGCCATTTTCCCAGCACTTACAGACATGAGATCATCAGGTCCTTAGAATAACTCCGAGGTAGGGACTGTGATTCATTCATTCCTTTCACAAACATCATTGGAGGACCTGTGTGTTAAGCATTGGGAATAAGCAAATGAAATCCTTGTCCTCGTGGCTTCTATGGGGGCAGAAAGGGGCCAATGGTGGGGACAGACGGTGAACAAGATGTAGCAGATGGTGGCTGCTGTGGAGAAAAGACAGAGAAAGGAGTTCTGGAAGGGGATTGCAGGTTTTTAAAATACGTTTTTACTAGAGGCCAAGTGCACAAAGTTCATGTGGGTAAGGTCCCTAGGCCTGGCCAGTGATCAGGGCCGATCTGTGGGGCAACCTGCGGGGTGGTGGGGCGGTCCCCGCTGGCACCTGCCTTGGCAGCCCTGGCGCCGCCCGCTCACCAGTCCTCCCTGCCCCCCGCCACCACTACTGGTTGCCTTCCTCTGTGGGGCAATTGGGGGGGGGGGGCTGTGGGCACCCACCTTAGCTTGCCTGGGGCTTGCAGGCTGGGGGTAGCCCCTGCATTGAGCATCTGCCCCCTGGTGGTCAGTGTGTGCCATAGTGACCGGTCATTCCACCGTTCGGTCAATTTGCATATTAGGCTTTTATTATATAGGATTAATTTCAGAGAGGAAGGGAGAGAGAAAAACATCAATGATGAAAGAATCATCCATTGACTGACTCCTGTACTCCCCCTACTGAGGATTGAGACTGTAACCCAGGTGCCCTGACCAGGAATTAAACAGTGACCTGGTTCATAAGTAGACACTCACCCACTGAGCTACACCTGCCCAGTGGGGGTTGCAATTTTAAATAATGTAATCTTCCCTGAGGAGGTGACAGACCTGAAGGAGGGAGGGAGAGGAGGAGCCATGCACATCGGTAGGAAGATCCTTCTGGGTCGAAAGAGGCAGGAGTCTGCCAGAATCAGGAAGACCAGAGGCGCTAGAGAAGAAGGAAGGAGGGCAGAGCTGGAGGGGAGCAGGGGGCCAACTCCTTACAACTTTGTCCAAACTTTAGCTTTTGCTCTGAGATGGGAAGTACTAATTCACAGAAGCTTGGCACCAAAGCCGCTTTGAAAATAGAAGCCTAATTATAATGATAGGTACAATTTACTGAGCATTTATTGTGTGCCAATCCTGTTCTAAGGCGCTTTACTTGTGTTAACTCAGAAGCTTGGCAACTAAGAATCTTCAAGAATAGAACCTGAATTTCCACAATGACCATCATTAAGTCATCGCTCACACTGGACCAGGCGGCCCTGGGCTAAGTACGAAGGTAGGGACTGTTATTTATTTATTTATTATATGTTTTTATTGATTTCAGAGAGGGAGAGAGAGAAACACCAATGATGAGAGATAATCATTGATCAGCTGCCTCCTCCATGCCCTCCCACTGGGAATTGAGCCCGCAACCTGGGCATGTGCCCTTGACTGGAATCGAACCTGGGACCCTTCAGTCCACAGGCCTGCGCTCTATCCTCTGAGCCAAACCGGCCAGGGTGGGACTGTTATTTACTTATTCATTCAACAATGACTTACTGAGCACCTATGAGATGCAGGCACTATTTTGGGAGCTGGGAATAGAATGCTGAACTTGATGAACAAAAAGCATTGCCTTTGTGGAAATTATATTTGGAAAGACAGACAGACACTTTAGATATTTAAGCAAAATATAAAATACACTAGAGGCCCAGTGCACGAAAACTTGTGCACTGGGGTGGGGGGTGGTGGTCCCTCAGCCTGGCCTGATCCCCAGAGGATCTGACCTAAGCTGGCAGTCAGACATCCGTTTGGCAGCCTGGGAGCCCCTGGGGGATGTCCAACTGACGGCTTAGGCCCACTCCCTGTGGGGGAGCGGGCAGGCCTAAGCTGCAATTGGACATCCTTAGTGCTGCTGCCATCAGCCCGGCTTGTGGCTGAGTGGAGCTCCCCCTATGGGAGTGCACTGACCACCAGAGGGCAGCTCCTGCACTGAGCTGTCTGCTCCCTAGTGGTCAGTGGGCATCATAGCGACTGGTTGTTCCCTGGTTGTTCACTGTTAGGGTCAATTTGCATATTACCCTTTTATTATATAGAATGTACTGTTAGAAGGTAGAAAGTGCTGTGAAGGGAAAGGGGATATGAGGGTTGTGTGTGTGTGAAGCATTTCCAAATGGTGTGGTCCAGGAAGGCTTCATGGAGAAGGTGACAGAGTAGAGACCTAGAGGAGGGGAAGGAGTGAGTTTGTGGCTCTCTGCAGGAACAGCAGGTGCAAAGACCCTGAGGTGAGGGCCTGCTTGGGATGTTTGTGGTAGAGTGCACAGGATCAAGAGGCTGTTACTGAGGAAGGCAGACCACTATACTGACTTTGGCTTTCTCTCAGAGTCTGAGTCATCATAATCTTTGGAGGCACAGGGTCTGCTATCATGATCATTTTACAGCTGCTACACCTGGGGCACAGAGACACTGAGTTATCCACCAGTAACTAGCAGATCCCAGGCTTGATTCCAGACAGCTGGATGCAGGGCACATATTCTTAGCCATGAAGCCACCAGAAATGGAAGTCTGGCTGTCCCCAGCCACCTTCTGACTTGCAGGAGTGTGTTTAGTCTCCACAAAATTATTGAGGTTTTTCAATCACGTTGGTTACCAACATTTAAAAATGGGCAGCCCGGCTCGTGTGGCTCAGTGGACCCATGGATCCAGGAGGTCACTGTTGGATTTGCCAGGATTGCAGGCTTAATCCCCAGGAGGGGGCATGCAGGAGGCAGCTGATCAGTGAATCTCTTATTATTGATGTTTCTGTCTCTCTCCCTCTCTCTTCCTCTCTGAAATCAATAAAAAAAAATTTTTTTTAATGTCTGATTTGCTCTGGCCCCTGTGGCTCAGTTGGTAGGAGTGTCGTCCTGCCAAGGTCAAGGATTTGATTCCTGGTCAGGGCACATGTGGGAGGCAACCAATCGATGTTTCTGTCCCTCTCACTTCCCCTCTCTCCAGAAATCAAAATAAAATGTCCTTCAGGCAGATTTCATATGGACATGGAGTTTCTGGCTTCTCTTGAAAAACTGAGAGATCTAGATTGCTGAACCCACAATCCCATGGGGCAGTAATCTGATGGAGCTGAGTAAGGTCACCTCCTATTACCGTGGGCATTCCCTGCCATGTGCCCAGTGCCCATCACCTGATATCTGGACCCCTCATGCATGCTTGCTTCATTGATTTATGTTACCTGCTTGGCCCAAAGAACTTCTGCATTTGTTACAGGATGTTAGACCAAAGCATCTTTCACCTTTTTTTTTTAAGTTTAGTTTTTAGAGAGGAGGGGAGAGAGAAACAGAGACATCAATGTGAGAAACATTGGTTGGTTACCTCGCCCACGTGCCCCAACTGGGGATCTAACCTGTAACCGGGGTATGTGCCCTGACGGAATCAAACCTGCTACCTTTGGTGTACAGAACAATGCTCCAACCAACTGAACCACACTGGCCAGGGCAACCAAAACATCTTTCAAAACTCTGCCGAAACCGGTTTGGCTCAGTGGATAGAAGCCTGCGGACTGAAAGGTCCCAGGTTCGATTAGCATCAACCCAAGAACCAACAGGTCAGTGGTTGGATTTCAGGTCAGGGCACATGCCTGGGTTTCTGGCTCAATCCCCAGTAGGGGATATGCAGGAGGCAGCTGATCAATGTTTCTCTCTCATCAATGTTTCTGGCTCTCTATCTCCTTTCCCTTCCTCTCTGTAGAAAATCAATAAAATATATTTTTAAAAAAAAACTCATATTTTTCATACTACAAGCTCCAAGTCTCAGAACCTGACATTTATCCACTGAAATTTTCATATTTACTATAGCTTAACATTATTGAACCTCAGAATCATCAAGATGAAATGGACAGCTCATCAAAACAATGTGGATAGATTTTTATTTCCTGGGATGGCCATGTGTAAACCCTCCTCTGCCCTAAGACAGGGCTTGCTTTCTAAGCATAGATGTAGAGAATTACCCATTTGTCAGCAAAAAATTCCAAGAATCAGGAGAGCCTGGGAATCAAGAGACCCAGTCTGCTGCCAGTGGGCTCATTCTGTTCCTAGGGGCCCAGCCAGGGTATGAAACCAAGCTAGGAATTCCAAAGAGGATTTAATACAGGGAATCGGTCACACAGGTGTTACAAGGCTGGAAGTGAAAAAGTGAAAAGGTGAGATAACCCAGAAATGTTTGCAGGAAGCTCCCACCTCTGGGACTGGGATACGGAAAGAGCAGTGAGATGACCAGAACCCAATAGGTGCTTGAAGGGCAGGTCCCATGCGGCTGGTGCAGGGACCACTGACAGGTGCCGTGTGCTGGTGCTTAAACCTCAAGAGGGGCACAGTGCCTTGTGTGCGTGTAGACGGGTACTGGGGCCTGAGCTGCTGCTGGAGGGGTTCCAGAAGAGTCCAAAGCAAGTCCTTTCCCCTTCTTCCTACCTTCCTTCTGCCCATCTATCTCATGGCAGAACTCAGGAGGCCAGCTCTCTAAGGCAGGCTGCAGGCCAGGAGACACTAGGCTAACATATAGTCAAGTATTTTTTAATTCTCTTTGGTAAGCACTGTCCTAAGTGTAGGGATGAAGCAGTTGCTTTCAGGAGCTTGGATTCCAATACAAGGACACAGATAATGAAATAAACAAGTGTGATAATTTTAGGTGTTGAAAAGCGGTGGGAAGAAATTAAATCAAGGTAAGGGTTGGAAGTGCTACTTTAGCCAGTCAGGTCAAGGAAGACCTCTCTGAGGAGGTGGCACATGTTGAAACCAGAATAACGAGGAGGTAGCTTTGCAAAGTTCTGGGTAAGAGCACTTCAGGCAGAGGGAACAGCAAGTGCAAAGGCCCTGGGGCAGAAGCAAAGCTGGCTTGTGTGGCTGGAGAGAGGTGAAGAGGACAGAGCTGAGATTGCTTAGTGGGCTGGGGCTGTTATTGTTGGGTTCTGTGGGCCTGGGGAAGGTCTTTGGAAGTCATTTATGGGATGCCTTTGGAGGTTTTAAATGAGAAATGACATAAGCTGATTAACATGCACAGGAGTGGTCTGTAATAGAGACTGGAAGGGGGGAGTCATAGCAAGGGCATCCGTTAGGAGAGTAGGGCTGGGGGAAAGTAATGAGATTCTTCAGGAATTTAGAAGCAGAGTGCAGGGTGTACTAATACAATGGCAGTTATGGTGGAGGTAGGGGACTGCAGGGGACCCACTGTAAGTGTGCAATTCCCATTTGTCGTCCAGGTGGCTGTCTCTCATGGAGAGAAGGCTGGGGTTTGGGCTGAAGGTAGATTTGGGAGTCACTAGTGACACTATATAAAGTCTTAGGGATCTATGACATCTGGAGAGTATAGAGAGAACAGAAGCCAAGGGTATACTTGGGCAGGCAGCTGTCTCAGGAGAGCATGTGGGATTAAATCCTTAGGTTTGTCAGGGGTGTGTGTAGGGCTGCTGGAGAGGGGTGGGGGGTATGAAACACCTGGGTCAGAAACTTCTGAGCTCTTACCATATGCCAGAGGAAATGTTTGGCCTTGTTAAAGTTGGCATCTTAGAAAACATTGATGGCCAAATGACTACAAACCAGTTTCTCCATAAGTCCCCCCAAAAAAGAGATACAGGCTTGCTAGCCCTGCTCCAAATCCTACACACACAAACATCGCTGTTACAGGTAGCATTTCCCAGGGCGGAAGCCCTGCATCCAGGCAGAGTAGGTTGTATGTCTATCAGAGAAGGGGTTAGTAGACTGTAATGGACTGTATCGTGGCTATTTTAGGCTTTATAATCTCTGTTGCAGCTCCTCGAATCTGCTGTCCTATGTGAAAACAACCATACACAATAGGTAAATGAACAAGCATGACTGTGTTCCAATAAAACTTTATTTGCAAAATCGGGAGTCAAGCTGGATTTGGCCATAGTTTGCAGACACCTGCCTTAGGCTATACATTTTACTGCATGTGACAAGAGACCCAAGCTAATGGCAGCTTAAACAAGATAGAGGCTTCTTTTTCTCTTATATAACAGTAGGGAAGTGGGTGTTCTCGGGCTGATACGATGGCACTGCTGCATGAAGTTGCTCTGCGATCCCACCTGTTGCTTTCATGGTCCAAAATGGCTGGATACCATGTCCACATTCCAGGCAGAAGGTGGAAGAAAGGCATGTCCCTTTCTGAAGCTTGAGGACTCTACCCAGGAATTTAGCCAGAACTTAGTCACATGGCCACTGCTAGCTGCAAGAGAACCTGGGAAATGTGGTCTTTGTAGCCATCATGTGCCTATCTAAAAATTGGGAGACAGCTATCAGTCACTACCACATCCATCCCACCTGTGGGATTTAAAAACATCCCTCAATTTAAATGAGTCTATGATTATTGTATACAGGGCATCAACCATTGTGTCTAGCGCAGCCGTGGGCAAACTACGGCCCGTGGGCCGGATTCGGCCCGTTTGAAATGAATAAAACTAAAAAAAAAAGACCGTACCCTTTTATGTAATGATGTTTACTTTGAATTTATATTAGTTCACACAAACACTCCATCTATGCTTTTGTTCCGGCCCTCCGGTCCAGTTTAAGAACCCATTGTGGCCCTCGAGTCAAAAAGTTTGCCCACCCCTGGGCTAGGGGCAGGGCAGGTAATGCAAGGAGTTAAATTGGCCACTCAGCTAAGGATGGGCTTTTCAAGAGCTGAAAATAGGATCTTAATGGGAAATCTCCCAATGTTGGCCAACTACAACAGGAGACAGAAGGTATCTCTGTTTGATTCCAAACCAGTTTCCTCATAGGGCTACGGCCTGATATCCCGTTCCTCATGCCCTTCTTATGTACTCTGGGGATTTCTGCTGAAAAACCAGAGTTCCTTGTTTAGCTATCTTAATGTAGAGCTTTTCTGTTTTTAGATACTATTTCTGTTAGTTTATTCATGTCACCTAACATATACAAAATATCCCATGACCAAAATGGTGCATAAAATTATTTAAATTATCTGGGGTGGGAGGACAAAGCCACCCAATGCCATGGCCCCTCGAGTGGGAAAGGCTGGGAGAGGGTCGGGAGAAGACAGATTTGAACTGCACCCCCACATTACTCAGTACAGCTCCTAACTTTGCTGCCCATCCCCAAAGGCTGGAGCTGCTCCATGTCTGGGACCCATCTGGTGGCTTCACAGGCCAGCAACACTCACCTTCCCGGCCCCCAGTCAGGCACAAAGCTAGGGCAATTTGCTCCTAAGGCCCATGGCATCCATCTGGGAAGAATTAAAGGTGATTACACAATCCACAGCTGCTTGTGATTTCAAACTACTTAAGTGGGAATGAGGGAGATAAAAATAATTTTCCCTCTTACATATATTTTTTAACAAAAGATCTCTCGATTGTCTGATTTCACCAAAGGCCTTTCTGTCCTCCAAGGACTGAAGCTCTAAAGAGCATATTCTGGGTTCTATTTATCAGGAGCCCTTTGCCTTTCCATCAAATTCCTCTAAGGGCCCATCCCATTATTAAAGGTCCCACCAACCACAGAGCCCCCTTTGCCCTGGGGAGGGCTGAAGCTGCACTCAGAGGTCCCCACGGGCACGCCAGATGTAGTGTTGATGCAGCCCAGCTTCCTGGGCAAAGTCCTGCCCACATTCAGTGCAGGCAAAGGGGCCAGGAGGGAAGCGAGCTTCATGCACCTGGCGGTGCCACCTCAGAGAAGCGGCCTGCCCAAAGGTCTTGCCACAATCAGGGCAGGGGAAGGTGGTCTGGGCAATGGTGGGTACAACCGTCAGGGAGGGCCTGGTAGCAGGACTGTGGCTGCGCTGGTGGGCGATCAGGGCCTTGGAGGAGAGGAAGGAGCGGGCGCAGGTGAAGCAGGTGAAGAGCGCCCCCTGCAGCTTCTGGGCCACGAAGTCAGCTGGGTGCTCCCGCTCCATGTGGCGCTGCTGGAACTTGGAATTGGCAAGGGGATGAGGCAGCGGGTGCACTCAGGGACCCCAGATGGCCTGAGGGACGTGGGGAGAGGGCGGGGAGGCCAGCAAGAGTCCAGGACTTCTCCCACCCCCAGCATCATGCCAGTAATGAACATGCAGTGCTTACTATGTGCCAGGCTGTGTGCCAGGGCTGGACAGCAGTCCAGGCAAGTTATTATTGGGCCTGTTTTGTGGATAAGCAGACTGAGGCTCAGAAATGTTAGGGAACTTGCCCACAGTCATGAGGTTAGGAAATGAAATGGAGTTAGGACTGGCACCCAGGGAGTCTGTCCTTCCAATACAGCTGTGTGATCAGAGCACAGACTCTGGAGACGGGCTGGTTCTACCATTTCCCAGGCAGGTACAATAGTTTCCTCATCTGGAAAATGGGTCATACCCCCATCAGTATTTACCTGAAAGGGCTGTTGTAAGCAATACATGAATGGATTTACACAAAGTGCTTAGAACTCTCTACACAGTGGTTTGTAATGATTACTGTTAGGAGAAAAGCAGCCCCGCAGCCAGGAAATGGCCTGGCACTATGATAGGCTTTGGCATTGTCCTGTTGAACATAAACTATTTTACAGAAAATCATCAGACAAGGCCACACTGACTGAATCAAGCCAACAATGGGAGGGCGGCCACAGAGCCTGTGAGGCTGCCCCAGGAACCGGAGCTGTCATATCCCCTCCTTTTCCACTTCCCGTTGCAACCAATAAAGGCATTTGTCCCGTTTTAGGTGGGGGAAAAAAGACAAGATCGTGCCATACTTGCATCTGAACACAGACAAAACATTAATATTGTCCAAGCCACAAAAATGACCAAATACCTCGTCCGGGCTAATATGAGTCTGTGAAGCTGCCCCAGGAACCGGAGCGGTCATATCCCCTCCTTTTCCACTTCGCGTTGCAACCAATAAAGGCATTTGTCCCGTTTTAGGTGGGGGAAAAAAGACAAGATCGTGCCATACTTGCATCTGAACACAGACAAAACATTAATATTGTCCAAGCCACAAAAATGACCAAATACCTCGTCCGGGCTAATATGAGTGGTGACTGCTGGTTTACCAGTCACAGCTTGTGCCCTGCTTGTTCCTCTGCCTTCTAGGAAAGATTTCTTAAGATAGCCAACCAGAGTTGCCCTGATTCCTGGCACCATCCAATCCAGAGCAAAACCCTCTTCCTTAAACCCTCCCCAAAATCACCCACCACAGGCTCCAACCCTATAAGCAGTTGGTGCCCCCGCAGTATGTGTGAGCAATAAACCAACTTGTGGACTACAGGTGTGTTCTGGGGGGTCTTTGGCTGGAGGGCATTGACTCTGGCCGTCACCGGTACAAATACTTAACCTCTCTTTGCCTCAGTTCCCTCAACTGAAAGTGATAATAACAAATTTCATAAGCTCTGTGAGGACTGGATGGGATAACGGGCGCTAATGGCCTAACACAGTGGTAGGCAAACTGCAGCTCGCGAGCCACATGCGGCTCTTTGGCCCCTTGAGTGTGGCTCTTCCACAAAATACCACGTGCGGGCACGCACATACAGTGCGCTCGAAACTTCGTGGCCCATGCGCAGAAGTCGGTTTTCGGCCTGGGCGAGTCTGTTTTGAAGAAATACTGTTGATATTTGGCTCTGTTGACTAATGAGTTTGCCGACCACTGGCCTAACACATAGTAGGCATTCAGCGGGAGCTGTTGCTATTATGTCAAACTGGCTACCTTCATGACCCTCCAAGTTTCATCTTTTCTGCCGCTAACCTACATAACACCGCTTTGTGGTGAGCAGAGGTGAGTAAGGGCAGACTTTTTCACAGATCGGGAGACCACGTCCCAAGGCACTGCAAGTCTGCCCAGAGTTGGAACTGGAACCTGGGGTTCCTCTCCGTCTCCGTTGTATCCCAGCCACATCTCCCATCCCAAGCCGCTCTGGCTGCCACTGTGTCCCTCTGAGCTGCATCCCATTCATACTTGTGTGGACAGAGCAGGGTGGGTACATCTGAGCGTAATAAGGGCAAGGCTGGGGAGTGGCAGTGCCCGGTAGGGCTAGCTCCCCAACAGGCAAGTCCCTACAGCGCCTTGTCCATTGAAATGCCATAGAAATCCTTTTAGCATCAGTTCCTGCACCCCACCCTCTGGCCAGCGGTACTCACGGATGTCGCCTCCTGCACTGCGGGGACTCCTCTCTTTTGCCGAATCCAGCTGCTCCATGGTCTGTTCGGGAAGCGGGTCCTCCATGGTGACTAGGCTCCCTCTGGTCAAGAGAGGAGCACGCATGACAACAGGAAATCAAAAGACGCTGCTCATCTGTCACCAGCCTGAGAGCCCACTAATCCTATGACCTTGCCAGCCTTTGACCCCGTGAGATACCATCTCCTTGAACTCTAACCTGATGGAGCTCTCACTAGAGAAACGTCATCCCCACCCCCCCACCCCCCCGCCGCCCAAGATTCGACTCCTGGATTTGTGGCTCCCCTTAGAGCCATCCCACCTGTGTGAGACCCAAGACCGACAGCAACTAGCTCCCTAAACTCAGAGCGCGGAACCCTTGATCTGACACCGTCCTTGTCCCCATCTCCCACACTTCCTGAGGCAGGTGGTGGTACCCACGCGTTAGCC